CCCCCCCCCCCCCTCCCCCCCAAAAAAACCTATTCTTTTCTATGGCCATGTTCACATCTGAGCATTTTGTTGCTCGATAAAAGTGCATGAGCTTCTTTTTGACAGATTCTGCACTTCTTGGCCCCATAGGCTTCAATAAAAACACGTTTGCTGCGTTTTAGCACAAATTTTTTGTTTGTCCATTCTCATCAATGTGTCACTATCTGTTGGCAAAAACACTCAACTGTATGTAAAAATGTGCAAAAAACGCGCAAGAACGTGCTACACAAAATGCGCGTTTCTACGCATGAAGACGCTGTCGCTCAGCTGTGAATAAGTCGTTATATGGAAGTCTCAGTATCCTTATTCATTTTTATGCAAAACAAAAGCACAATTTCCTCGCAGCAGACAACGTTATGAAAATATGATAATCGGCCTTGATGTTTATTATTTTTTAGGGGTAACAAATCATAAATGGGCTCACCTGCAGTGAATGTTGGTTAAATGTAACAATCACTGCTTCATAAATATGCCCCTTCGTTATGAAGATGTATGCTTTATACATGAACTGGTTTTTTTTTTGTTTTAACCCCTTCGTGACTGACGACGTACAGTGTACTTCGCCAGCATCGGGGCTGTTTAAGCAGACTCCCGGCGACTTTTGCCGCCAGGAGTCTGTTTAAACTTGTAGCGCCGACTGTCGGCTTTACAACAGAAGCGATTCTGGCGACTTACCTGTTGCCAGATCGCTTCTGTGTCCCGAAGAAGGGGCCGCCGCCCCATCCCCCCCGCCGGACACAGCCGCCGTGCCAATATGTGACAATAGAATTACCCAATCAACTATGGACATTGGTATAATGTACTCAATGTTAAAAGATATTAATTATTGCCATTGTGCATAATACAAATCTGTACGGGATCCTAGAGGTGTTATGCTGATTACACATGTAATGTGGTCTTATCATAAATGATTGTGTTACGTTTTATGAATTCAATGTTTGCTAGCCAGAATATTAATCTATATTAATTTATTAAATATGTATTTATTATGAAATGAGCTACGTGTCATTATATATAGCCGCATCTCTTTGCATTGTCTAGAAGTCACCTAAAAAGCCCCATTCTCTTTGGTTGTTATTTACGAAATTATTCAGGGGTTGGTGTCTCCTTTTGGTGCTGATCCTAACATGTTTTCATATAACGTTTATATGCTTGACCATAGGCAAAAATAAACAATATTAAAAAACACATTTTACCAGGATTTTTTCTTTAAGTTCAGAGCCTGATCTCGAGCATCAGATCATAGTTAAAAGATTAAACAATGATGTGTTGACCATGGGAGAAAAGTGAAAGGCTGTCCCAAACAATGTAAGGGCTTGTGTTGACTGACTTTGGAATCCATTTGAAATCAGTTTGGAAAGCTGCTGAGATCATTCAGAATTCAATGGCAGCTTCACTTGACCTCCTTCTGACCTGCATTTGACCTGCTTGAACCAGGTTTTGCATTCCAGTTGACATCTTGAAGCGTGGAAAAGCCCATTGACGTAGACCCTAATCCTGAAGCAGTAAAAGCAGGCACACTTAGATTCCTCTGCTGGTGTTGGGGAGTGCAGATCCAAAAGAGCATATACTGGCAAAGTTGTAAGCTGGACACCAAGCAACATTTGTAACTCTAAAGAACACATGCAACTTTATTTATAAATGCCAGTCAAAGTCAAGTGCTTTACCTGACTTCAGTTAAGTTTCATAGTTAAAGCCTTGTAAATACATTTTCAACAGATTCCTTTCAACGTCTAGTTTACCATGGCACCCTAGATATAAACTTAGTACTCACTGTAGCTACATGTTTACCTATGAAAAGCTATCAGTTTTAAAATCACTGGCTTTTTTAGTTTAATCCCGCATTTCTTTTTTACTGACATTTTACTGTATGCTTAAGTGAATACTATGTGGTTGGGGATTTCTGTGCTGAATTATGGGGTAGCATTCCCTAATCTTGATACTAGTTAACAGGAAATATTGTGGGTACCATGTACATGTAATCAAAGTGAGTGCGAGTTGTCTTCCCTGTGATTAGGTCAGTACCAGGGATCTTTGGCTGCCCACCTCCATATTTCCATTGCCAATCCAAGCATGTATATTATTGTTATGAAGGTTTAAAGGAAAACCACTTTTAAACATAGATCATGCCTAGACATTCAGGCACTATCTAATGTGTAGGCCATCTTTAAAACTTGAAGACTTTTAGACTTTAGATCCACAATTATCATACCCCTGATTATGTGAGGGATTTGCATTAATGAATAAGCATATCCAGTTTTGGGGGTTTTTTTTCAAAATCCAGGGGCAGCAGTAAATATCCTTTTTCAGTACATTGTAACACAGAGGGGTTCATTTATAAAAGTTAGTAAAGTATATGAATTTCCTATGCTGGTCAGTACCATCTAGGGGCACCAGTGCCATGCGAACAGCATCTGCCTGGCATATATATTTATAAATGAACTAGGGATGAACAATACCGATACCGTTATCGGTGCCGATACTGGGCATTTTCACGAGTGCTTGTACTCATGAAAATGCCCCAAAACTAAGCAAGGATACTGACACTTTAAATGTTTAAATACAAACGGCTGCCAGAAAGTCCCTCGCTTGCTGGGGACTTCATGGCAGCCTTCTGGAGACCTTGTGGTGCTGCTTGCAGCGCCGGCAGCACATCTACTCCTCCTCCATCCTATGGATCCCTCTGGACCCATGGTGAGACACCATACAGCCCTAATTACTCCCCGCGCAGCCCTGGTGAGATGTCGCACAGCCCCTAATAACACCCTGCACAGGCCACCTAAGACCCAGTACAGCCCCCTGAGACCTAGTACAGCCCACCTGAGGGCCCCCACAGCCCTCCTGAGACCCTGCACAGCCCTCCTGAGACCCTGCACAGCCCTCCTGAGACCCTGCACAGCCCTCCTGAGACCTTGTACTGTCCACCTGACACCCTGCACAGCCCACCTAAGAGCCAGCACAGCCCACCTGAGGGCCCCACAGCCCTCCTGAGACCCTGCACAGCCCATATTGACATGATAGCAACACGATGGTGCTGCAGATTTGTCAGCTGCACATCCATGATGCAAA